GCAAGTGCTGGGGGGCAGCTGATGGATTGATGATCAAAGATGCCAGGCTGAGACTCTCTCTCCTGGAGACTGAGGGGGAGGCAGAACCAGGGAAAGGGGGAAGGGATGTGTAGGGAAACGGGGACAGCTGAGCTCTAAATCCAAGCTAAACATGGCACACATTCCTGGGGGTTTGCCATTTAAAACTGAAGGAGGAAGATGGCTTTTTCTATTTTATGTACTGTCACATAGTTGGACAAGTGAAGTATATCATAAATAAAAGTGTTGGGAAAGAGGAGGCTCAGTGCCTCAGTTACCTCAAACTTTTTGTTAAGATCGATAGGACAATTATTGCACTTGGACATGGACTCTCTTTTTGAAGAAAGGAGGAGACAGACATGAATGGGACCACCAGAGCTCATAGCTGAGTTAGCCACATCACGCTCCCCACTCTGGTCCCTGTTTCCCTGCTCCCTCCTCATCCCAGAAATTATCCTATTAAAATACCGTTTTTGCTTTATTTTTAAACCAAAGATCCAACTAAGGTGGGAGGAGCATTTTATAAAAGGCAGCCTAAAGGGAGGTGGTGGGAGAGGGGAGACAGTTGCTCCCAGATTGGCCTTTCAGCAGGAGCCTGAGAAGATCTGGGGAATTGGATCCTTCTGACAGAAGAAGTAACTGCAAATGCCCTCAATGTAAGAGTTTGAATGTTTGAGGGGCTTCAAAGCAGTGCGTGGCTGGAGCCAAGTAAAGAAGGGCTGTGTGGAGAGTGGCAGGAGCTAGTTCATACAGGGCCTCAGAACTGGGGAGTTCACTAGTAATTGAAGTTTCCAGAAGGTTCTAAGCAGGAAAGCAATATAATCCTACCTGTTGTTTGAAAGATAATTCTGGCTCCCAAGTAGAGAACCAGCTTGGAACACAGGAGTGAGTGCAAAGTGAACAGCAGGGAGCCGGGAGGGCAGCTGGGAGGGCAGCTAGGAGGGCAGCGAGGAGGCCACCCAGGCCCTCCAGCGAGGAATGTGGTGACCCTGTGAACTGATGAGGAGTCAGGGGCTGGACACCAGTTTTGGACACTTGAGCCAACAGTTCTTGTTTCAGGTTTGGATGTGGGGTGTGAGGGAAACAGCAGGCAAAGTAAGAGTTAGTACATGTTTGGTACATTTATTGCCTGACTCACCTGCTAACTGGAATCAAAAAGCAGGTGAACTTCCCTTTCCTGTGAGAATTCCACAGCCCCCAGAGGCCGGCTGTTCGCCAAGCTTCTTACTCTGTTTTTGCACTTCTGTATGTGAGGCTAATAATACCCCCGCGAGGCGGTCGAAATACTACTGACATCTGGCTTTCTGAGAGGATGAGTGGAGGCCCTGGCAGTGGATGCCAAGGCTCTTCTTGAAGCTATTGTTGGGCAAACTCACAGATTCAATATAAAATAGAGTCACCCTCTCAACAGCTCTAGGATGTACACAATGCTATCATCCATTTCTACTGAGAAGACTGAGGCCGGGAATGTGTATGAGCTGGGCAACAGGTGTGGAGAGCTGGGACTGAGCGGTTCTGGCATGGGGCCAGCTGGCATCACCCTGGGGAGGAGAGGGAAAAGAGGTCCTCATGCTTGTGAATGCCCTGCTTTCTGATCCCCATGCAGTGCAGAAGGATCCCTGGATTGTGATTTGCTTAATGCTTTTCAAGAAGGTGAACTGGGGAGGAGAAAACCCCAGCACGCATGTAGCCCCGACCGTCCCCTGAGGCATGGGGCAAAGAAGTCAATCTCTCCCCGGGCCTGGCATGGGGGCTGAAAGCTGGCAGCCAGGTGTGGGATGTCCACACGTGCCCAGGGCTGGAACACAGTGAGGGAGTTGAATGCAGTCACACACCAAGGCCTTGATGAGATCTCCTCCTGAACGAGGTTGCTACGATTACTCTGTGAGCCCAGGAGCACCACAACTTTGAATAGTGTCATGGTCCTTGTCTCCTACTAGCACGAGCCACAGAGCAGGCAGGAGTGAAGGAGTGAGCGGTGGAGCGGGGACAGGGAACTGCCAGCTGCTTCTCCAGATCAGACCATTCTCCCTGACGGGAGGCCGGCCACCAGGACTGACCCTGTGCACACCTGTTCCAGGCCTCTGCCGTGCTTGCTAAGGGGATACCTTAGTATCCTCATTCCCAGAACAGGGCCTGATGCCCAAAGGGATTTGCGTGAATTTCGAATGAGTTCGATTCTAAACCTATGTGTTCCAGGTTCTAAACCAGAGTCTCCAATGTTTGGCTTCTTTTGGCATCTGCAGAGCCTAAGGGCTGGGCCTCTGACCTGTCTGCTGGCTGATCCTGCCGAAGAGGATATATCAAGGAAAAGTGACTTCCTTCCCCACTGCTTACCTTCCTGTAACCATGGAAAGGAGCCTGATGCAAAAACCAGCCTCAAGGAGCATACAAAGGAAGTGCCTGAAGGGGGGAGGGCAAGGTGCGGCCCTGGGCTCTCAGCTCAAATCTGAAACCGATAAGCTGTGTGTCCTTTAACAAGTCACTTAACCTCTCCGTGCAGCTCCTTTCTCATCTTCAAAATGGAGAGCAGTATAGTAAGTTGAGGACAGGTGGGCTGTGACATTAGATGGCCTAATTTTGAATTTCCCTTCTACCACTTACCTGCAGAACCACTTAGAATTTTGCCTATGGCCTAGCTTTAGTCTGTGGGTCTCAGTATTCTCACAGGGAAAACGAGTAGGAGTATCTACTTCATAGTGTTGTTGGGAGGGTTAACATAGCTATTTTATATTTAATACATGTATTTTTAGGATAGTGCCTTGCACCCAGTAAGTTATTATTATTGTAATGTTTACCTTTTTTAAAATGATAAAGGACAACTCTCCAGGCTCCCAGGACTTTGGTGATGATCCCCAGTCATCATGAATAAAAAAGCAGGGGGGAATTCAGTAGGTATTTGGTCTATTCCGACCTTTTTTGTTTTCCAATCGGACAGGAAATTGCTTCTTTCTTCAGTGGTGCCAGCCGCCCAGCCACGCTCCCCAGTCAGCTGCTTTCCATGACAAAAGGTAAGGCCACGTAGGCAGCCAGGTCTCTACCCAAGAAACCAGCCAATCTGTGCCTCAGGAAACCACCAGGGGTTTCTTTCTCATTAAAAATCTCCAGGTTTTAGCTACTAGAGCAGCTAAAGAAAACAAAAACCATTTAGATCCTTAAGATCTAGGCTCTTTCCAAGTTCTGAGAAGTCTCTAGGAGGAAGGCAAATGCCGTTTGGGAGTTTCCTCTGCAGCTCAGCGATGGTGCCTGTGGTCACAGCTTGGCCCTTTGCCCTAGGAGGGACTGTGAGCACCTTGAGAGGAAGGTGGGGGTGGAGCTGGGGCTCAGACACACAGTTCCTGAGGCCTCTGGGCTCCCCTGCTGCATCTTTCCAGTAAATTAAAGAATGGGATGAAGATTCTGAAAGTGTCAGGACAGAAACCTGAAACCTGCTTATTCATGTTTCAAATTCTCCTCTGCCTGTCTTATTCTGAAAGGTACACTAGGTGCTAGCAAGCCAGAAGGCAGCTGCTTTCAGTTACACACATGCCTAACTGCCTTCAGCCTGTTTTGCAGTTTGACACCAGCCTCTGGTCCCCAAGAAACCCTGGAGACATAAGGGTGCTTAACTCTCTGCCACAAGTCCACATCTTTTCCTCTGCACTGTCCCCAACAGTGGAAAGTGAAATCTAGCTCAGATCCAGAATTTCTAACTTGGTTCCCAGGCAAATAGGTTGCAGATGCAGGAAATTGGTGCCAACTGGAGAGCTGGTGCAGACTTTGCTAGCCAGGAAACATCACTGGCACAGGCAGCTTGGTCCCTTTAATCCCATGCCCAGCAGGAGATGGTTCCGTGATGGAGCCAGAGGCTTGCCCTTGCATAGATTCTCCCGCCCCTGGGAGTACAGACTAGCCACCTGCTGCCCTTTCCAGTTGTTCCAGAGCTCAGGAGTCTTTTCTTTGCCTTTGTTCTGATAAATGCCATCATTCTGGTATTTAATATCAACCACTCAGATGTAGATACTTCCAAATACAGGTTAATCATATTCTTTTTACATGTTTTGCTTTCCAAGATATCCACATGCCTGTCTCCCTTCTTCCCCACCCAAAAAATAAAAAATCACCCAGTTCACTATTGTTTCATCAAAATTATTCCCAGCCTAGGTTACTATTAATAGCAATAATTGGACGCTAAGGAGGAAGCTAATGTAAGAATCTATAATCAACAACTAGAATGTTCAAGGAAGTCTGCCTCCAAAGTGTCAGGGCAAACTGGTGGATCTCTGTTCTGAGAAATGCCTCAATTATTGGCTTACTCTTGCTCAAAACTAATTTTCTTCAGGAGAAAAGGCATCTCACTGGAGAAAACTGGCCCATGCCAGAAATCCAAAGGCCTGATTTACCCAGGCCCAACTGCTAGCCCTGGGACTAGAAGTGAGGGGCCTCCATTAACTCTCTGGCAATTGTGGGTGTTAGCCAAGGTCAGTGGTTCTCAGCCAGGGTTAATTTTGTTCCCCAGGGGACATTTGACAATGTCAATACTTTTGGCCATCACAGATGACCAGGGCCAGAAGGGGTGTTCTGGCACCAAACAGGTAGAGACCAGGGGTGCTTAATGCCTGTGATGTACAGGGCACCCTCTACACCAAACCACCCAGTCCCAATATTAACAGAGCCCATGCTGACAAACCCATCTATAACCTCATCTTGCAGGTTTCCTCTAGTTGGGGCCAAGTTCAGCAGTCACTTAGCTATTTCCCTGAAATTGTGCTCATGTGCCTACACAGACCCTCCTCGGAGAAACTGTTCCATTCCATCCCTTTCAAATGTGTGTAGGTGGGACAAGTGCAATGATAAATCCATCAGTCACTCAACACAAACAACATCCTGGTGGTGGCTTCTGTATCTCTATTCCTTTAGGAGAAAGAAGCTCAAGACAGAAAAATAGTAATGCCTTGAAAGCACCCAGCAGTCATCTCACTTAAAGTTTATTTCTTGTGATTTCCAGCATGCAATGCACTTTCTTGGGAGAAAACAATTTTTTGTCTCAGTTCACATTATAAATTAATTTACAAATATAGAACTGTGGTAGAAACAATATTTATAAAAGCTTTTATGATTTTTCACATAGAAAAATACCCATAGAAACTGTTTTTTTGGTACATACTATATGGGGCAGGTGGTTTCTTTGGTTGTCTTCCTGAATAATATTTAAAAAGTAATGGTAATGTTATTTATATCTCAAATACTTTTTTCTGTATGTATATTTCAAAATAAAAATGTAAGGGTGGTGCTGTGAAAGTCTTAAGAGAATACACAGCAGGTTAAAAATGCCTTACAATGTACTTTTTGTTCCTGTCTCTAAAAAATTAAAACCCCAAACCAGCAACGCTATCAAAAACCCAGCAACATGGCGCATAGGCAACTCATGAGGCATTATCTTCATCTTAATGCAAAGCTGTTCCAGTAAAATCAACAACTATTTGGCATTTTTGGGGTGAGTTCAAACTGTGGCCTAGTATCTGACCGTCATGTACCAGGCCCTCTTCTGGGCACTGGGAGGGTGACCATAAAAATTATTCAAATGAAGATATTTCCTGAGAAGTAAAAGGGAGTGCTAAAAATAAATTCTATTAAAAAATTTTTCTGACCAAATGCTTTGTTTAAAAAACTATAAAAATTCCATTTAAAAACTATTTTAATAAAAATTCTAACACTGTTTAAAAATGAGAAATCCAGGACACAGGCTGAAAGGGAAAAGATGTCAACTTAACTGGGACAGTGGTCACCCCACACTTCAGGAATACGGCAGCAGAAGCGAGGCAGAGGTGGTGTCCATCCTTGCACGTCTAGGGACCATCTCAAGTGATATTTCAACCAGAATCTTTGGTCAAGTGAGATCTAGCCCATCCCTACCCACTATATGCTATGTCTGCTGATGGATGCCAGCACCTTTTGTTTTTCAGGAATTAGAACAATTTTACAAGCACCAACTTTGGAGCCAGACTGCCAGGCCTGATCCTGGCTCCATGACTTACTATCTGCACAGCCTTGGGCAAGTTACTTAACACCTCAGAGTTTCACTGCCCTCATATAGAAAATTAGGGGTAGTAATAATACTTACCTCCCAAGATTGATGTGAGGATTAAATGTGTGTCAAGTGTCTAGAAGAGCACCTGGTCCACAGGGCTTACCTGGGCAATTTTTTATTGCTATTATTATCTACCATGTAGGAGACACTGAACATAAGCAGAGGCGACTGGCCAGCTGGATACAGCTCAGGGACCTGTGGTGTTTCCTAGTACAGTATTTTGAAAACTTCAACCAGTGGCAAAGACCACAAATAAAGGCTTCCTATAAAAATCCAGAAATCTGACTTCTCAAGGAAATCAGACTGCTGCCAGACAGGAAATAACAAGCTGCCCACAGCAGCCTTCAGCTGGTCAGTCCCAACCACGCCCAACTGCTTCAGTTGCCAATTGCTCTTTTTCCTGCCTGATGACTTCATTCTCGTTTTCTGCCGATCCCTATACACACTGGACCTTGTAACCCTGATCTACAGTCCTGAACAGAACAGACATGGTCCCTGCCCTCATAGGGCTCACAGGTACTCTCCCAGAATAGAGTGAGGTGGGTGTCTCTCCAGGCAGGCCCTTATCCAGAAAAACCTGTACAAGCCTGCTGGGTTGTAAAAGTTAGCTCCTAAACCCTTGCTACCCCAAGTGTGGTCAGTGGCCCACAGGGTCACCGGGCAGCTCCAGAGAAATGCAGAACCTCAGTTCCTGCCCCAGACCGACTGCCTTGGAATCTGCATTGTAACAAGACCTCAGGTGTGCACGCCAAAGTCAGAGAAGCAGCGCTCTATACTTCAGAGCCCTCCCGGGGGTAGATGAGGCTGTTGACCATGCTGAAGTTGTAGAAGGAGCTGCTGAACGGGCTGCTCTGACTCCCGGTGGTGCTGGCGGGAAAAGGGCTGTAATAGGAGGACCTCTGGCTGCTGCCATTGCTGGTGCTGTGACTCAGCTGCAAGGTGTCTGGCGAGGCCTCAGCAACGGAGCTAGGGGCGAATGTGCTGCCGGGGGGTAGCTGGGCCCCCTGGATGCCTGGGTGGCGGCTGCCAGGGAGAGCTCGCTGCGTGTTCCCACTGCTGCTGACGCTTAAGGTGCTGAGGCTGCTGAAGAAGGTGTTGAGGCAAGGGGTGGAGGTGAGCATGGATCCTCCTGGTGAGGAGGCAGCACTCCTGGTGCCCTCGGGACGCTCTGGGGACTGGGAAGGCCTCAGCAGAGTGGAGGGGTTGTCCCCTTCTGGCTTCCCACCCACTCCAGACCCCAATCCTGATGAGAGCCCCTCTTCCAATTTTGGTGTCCCTGTGGCCACTGTGGAGGTGCCGCTGGCCTCAGAGAGGCGCTTTCGCTTCCGCCGGAAGTTCCCGTTGTCAAACATTTTCTCACAGTTTGGATCCAGGGTCCAGTAATTGCCTTTCCCTGTGCAGATAAGAAAGGGGAGTCAGAGGAAGACCTGGTTTATACACATGCATTCTGCTTCAAGTTCTGGGAGGAGTAAGGCACACTCTCATTAAAGGCTGACAAAGATGCTCAGTCTACTTTATCATTAACATTTATCCTTTTAGGGGAGATTTTATTCTTTTGCTTCCCTTTTATTTATTTTAATTAAATTATAGTTTATATATATATATGCTATTGGTTTCAGGTGTTCAACAAACATGTACATTACAAAATGCTCCCTATCAGAATAATTACCAGCTGTCACCATACAAAGTTATAACAATATTATTGACTGTATTCCCCATGCTGTACTTTCATCCCTGTGATTAGTCTACTTATTCTTCTTTCAAGGAGAAATCTGAAATGAAAATGTTTTGGCTAGTTTTTCCTTCTATGGCATGTCTGCTATTTAAATCTTAAGACCTAATTCTATTCCCAGGACACTTCTAATTCCCCAACACCTTCCCCTCTAGGTCCATATTGTGTGCTCTTTATATGCTTAAACTTGAGCTTCCATTGCTTTCTTTACAAAAATAGGAGTAAGAATAGTACCCACCTCTAAGTTGGCTCTAAGTAAGAATAGTACCCACCTCTAAGTGCAAGTTAAGTGATATTTCTGCATAGTAGCTGGCACCCAGCAAGCAGTGAAAAAAGAGTATCTGTTACCTTTATTATTCACTGAAAGGGTATGATTCTTGCCCCTAAAGAAACACTCCACTGGAAAAAGTCAAATACCCAATCCTCTGCTTTGCTGAACAAACATGACAAAAGCTGTTACTGAGCAAACAGTTGTTTTAACGTCTTGGATGGCATATGATCAGAGGACAAGGAAGCTTCTGGGTCTACATTCCCTCCTCACCTTGGGCAGGAGGCACCCCTGCAGCTCTTCTAAGCCTTTCCTCCACTGGGTAAGTCAAATCAGGGCCCCATTTAATGCACGTGATGCGACTCTTCTGCTTTGAAAATCTCCCTCACCAACTGAGGTAGAAAAGATCTATCATGGAGAATTTTCTCTCCCAACAGTTTTTTTCACTTCTAGTAAAATGATCCTTTGGCATTCAAGGACTGCTAAGCACCCATTTGGTAGTGAGTGATTTGTAATGGATAACTTCAGTTACTCCTCACGGCTCTATAGAGACAGGCAATATTATGGCTCCATTTTTCAGATGGGAAAACAGAGATGCAGATTTGTTAGCAATCTGTTGCATTTCCCAGTTAGCAATGGTTTACACAGGCTGGCTCTAGACTCAGCATTCTTAACTAACCACTGTCTTCTTTGGCTTCCACAAACTAGAACGCACTCCCCACATTCATTACCTCTGCCAACGTTGCTCCCCAAATAACCGCAGCAGAGAATAATTTATTCATACAACTACTGTCTAAATAATAATAACTGCACCTATCAAGATATTTGTATTGTGACACCTTGGTACCAAGCGCTTCGACAAGACACTAGCTATAGATCCTTGAACTTTATAAAGTATCTCACCAATAACTATTATATTTGTTACCTGTATGATACTCTGGGTTACTTAAAATATTAAAAATAATTTTAATTTCAACCACAGCTTTGTACTTTTCGAATGTGGCTACTAGGAAATTTACAATCACATGTAGTTTCATTTTATTTCTACTGGAAAGCACCACTCTAGAATGACTTCAGGTAGAAGACTCCAGAGTATTTATGCAATTTGCACAAAATCCTAGATCTCTGTAGTATGCAACCCAAGCAGTTTTCTCTTCGCTTCCTTTCACAACTCTGCCCCCACCTCCCTTGTCCGGAGCGCCTTCTGAAAACCTCAAGTAGGATTCTGTTTCTCTCCTCCTCGAGCTTTCTCCACCGCTACTTCTCAGGCAAGAGGGAAGCTACTAACAATACTGCCCTGTAATCCAGCCTGCCTCATGGGGACGTTGTGGGGAAGCAGGGGAAGGGGGTTCAGAGCAGAATGCAGCCAATGTGCCTTCTCTTCTTTATATTTCTAAATAATTCAGGTACTCAAACCACAATCTGCAGGACCCAGCTAAAGTTCTCTGATCCCTCTGCCGCGTCTCATGATGCCTGCGCCACTCTCCTTAAATCTCTCAAGGTAGGCACAGGACTTGTCTTATGAAGGACGCAGTCTCTCAGGAACCTGATGCAGGAGGAAGTGCATCTGTGGACATCCTGAACGGCCGGCTGCTCCTTGGGTCTCTCACCACCTCCTTTGGGAGCTGTGATGGGATTTTCCGCGCATCTGAGTCCCTTCATAGTCATTGCTTATCTGAGCGCTCATCCGTTCTTATTCCTAATCTACCTCCAGTAATGTGACCCCCCCTCTTCCCTTCAAGAGGCCACATAGATGAACACCACCAGGGGTGGCTTCCTGCGGGAGATAGGGCTTTTTCATTTCTCTTTAACTGCCCAGCTCTTCGTGCGCGCGTGGGGATGTAGATGTGTGGATGTAGGGACGAGCTGCTCCCTCACCGGACCCTCCAAGGCTCCTCTGGTCCACCTCTTTGTCCTCTCGGTTCCCTCACCCAACCCTGAAGCCTCCGCCGGCTCCCATGCACACTTAGAATGAGAAGATCTCATTTGCGTGGGTCTTCAAGGCAGCCACACGCAGACCCCTCACCCGGACCGTACGCCGCTTCCCCGCGCCCGCGGCCAGAAGGCCCCTGTCCCGCCGCCCTCACCTGGGTCGTCCTCGTCGCGGGGCACCTTCTTGAAGCAGTCGTTGAGGGAGAGGTTGTGGCGGATGGAGTTCTGCCACCCGGCCTTGCTGCGCTGGTAGAAGGGGAAACTGTCGGCCACGAACTGGTAGATGTGGCTGAGGGTGAGCTTGCGCTCGGGCGCGCTCTGGATGGCCATGGCGATGAGCGCCGAGTACGAGTACGGCGGCCGCACCATCTTTATCAGGTCCTCGCGGCTGGCCATGGACAGCCAGCCGAGCTCGCCGGGCGCGGTGGGTCCCACGGGCGAGGCGGGCGCGGCGGGCGCGGGCTGCGCAAAGGGCCGCTGCGCGCAGCCGAAGGTGCCTGCGGCGCGCGGCGGCTGCAGGAAGGGCCCGGCCGCGCCCCCGGGCGGCGGCGGCGGCGGCGGGGCGCCCAGGTACGCGGCGGCAGCGGCGGCGGCGGGCGACCCGCCCACGCCCGGCCCGTTGAGCCACAGGTAGGGGTTGGCGGCGGCGGCGGCGGCCGGCGGCGCGCCGTAGTCGCCCAGCCCGTAGGGCGCCCTGGCGGCCGGGGACGCGCCCGGGGCGGCGGCGGCCGGGGGCAGGCCGGGCTGCGAGTACACGCCGAAGTTGTCGCCGCAGTAGAGGGCCATGTCGGTGGCCGGCGGCTGGTGCGGCGCGGCGGCGGCAAGGGGCGAGCGGGGCTGGTTTCGCCGCTCGGGCGAGAGCATCCCTCTAGGGGCCAATCCTGCGGCCCCGCCTCGGCCCTCGCTCGGCAACCTGTACTGAAGCCGAGGGGCAGCCGGATGCGCGCGGAGCGCCAGCGAGCCAGCTTCTTATAACCGTCCGCCGCGCGGCTCCTCCCGGCCGGGCCCGGGGCTGGGCGGCGGCCCGCGCGCCGAGCTCTCCACGCCCCCGCCACGCCCCACCTGCCCGCGCGCCCGAAGCCTCGCGCCGCCCGCCCCGCCCCTGCAGCCCCTGCGGCCCCTGCAGCCCCTCCTCGCCCGGCCCCCGGGGCCCGGGGGTCCCGGAGAGCCCGAGCCTGCACGCTAAGGGCGAAAGCACCCCGGTCCTGGCCCACGTATTCTGACCATGAAATAAAACAACAAATGTTGAACCAAGAGAAGATAGCCGAAACAGAACAACTGTTTTCGAACAAGTCTGTGAGTTAACTTTGGGTGGCCAGTCAAGCCACCTGCCTAGCCCCCTTTGGTTTTCCTCCTTCAGTCCTCGACACCTTTGGTGATCCAGTTGCAGGATTCATGTCCGGTCTCTGCTGATCGGCCCCCAGTCTAAAAGAATAGATGCGATTTACAACTCTTTGGGGAATACGGCGTATTATACTAATTAACCAGCATCCTTGGTGTGCCCCCTTCTCCTAGGGGATTCCGTGGTGGGGAAGCGGACTGAAAACGGCATTTAATTTAACCGTGTCTCCAAGCATATATTTTCGTTCACATTCGGGAGGTATTGCTCATTTTACGTTAGGTTTATGCAGTCTTTGGTGTGATTTGTTGTCTTCAAAAACAAGGGTGAACGTTTTCAAAGACATTTAAATAAGTGGGTTCGAAATTAGCATTGTAAAACCAACCGTAATTTAAACTGCAAGAAGTTCTGATTTACAAAAACGGTCTCAACGAATTATGGTATATGAATTGCCCTCCTCTTTTTAAGTTTTCAAATGCGGCTTCTGCATGGAAAAACAAAATCAGTAAAATACTGTGGCAACCTCATATGCCGCGTAATTATTATTTATTGACTCCGAACAGCAATAAGAAAAATTGTTTCTTTTATAATGAAGACTGTTTCTAAATATATTCTTAATCGGTGACAGCTCTGCGATTCTCATTAGGAAAAGAAGTGGGAAACTTTTTTTGTCTATCAATTACAGCTGACAGTTAATATTTAATAATTCGGAAATCTCCAGCTTCTCCGCCCCGAATTTATTTTAATGATAAAGTTAGTTATGTATGTGAGGGGAGATTTTCGTCTTCTGTTATCTCACTACTTAAGGAAAAAAAAAAAAATCCAGAGAGACATTTAGCTAGCAAATTTAGGTACCTAAAATGCAAGTAACTCTTCAAATGTCGACTCTAAAGTGCTCTCTTTCTTTCATCTGGCAAAAGCTATAAAATGGAATCGTGTTTGCCTTAACTGTTGTTTAAGGATCTAAGTGTTTCTTCATTTAGATAATCATATTGGGTTTTTTTTACCTCCCCAAATTAAGTTGTTTTGTTATTTCTCTTGAGATGTTAATATTTTTTCTTATATTGAAAGGTCTAAACTAAAAAGAGAAGATCCATAAAAAAGGCTGGGAACCTAGAAGACAAAAAATTGGGAAGCATTTGAAATCAAAGCCATCTGTCTCCCCGTTAGTTATTAATGTCCTTAAGAGTATAATACCTTCTCTTATTTTTTAACAAACTGCTCTTCCATACAAACTTGGCAGTTTGCAGGGTTTGTTTATTTATTTATCTATCTATGTATTTATTTATTTATTATTAAGGTATCATTGATATACACTCTTATGAAGGTTTCACAAGAAAAACAATGTGGTTATTATATTCGCCCTTATTATCGAGTCCCTGCCATACCCCATTGCAGTCACTGTCCATCAGTGTAGTAAGATGCCAAAGAGTCCCTATTTGTCTTCTCCAAGCTACACTGTCTCCCTCTCCCCACGACCCCCCTCACACCATGTGCACTGGGTTGGTTTATTTTTTATTCTGATTCTTAACTCAGTAGCTCCAAATTATCCTGAGTAAGAGGTCATGATTGCAGATTATTGTTTCTTACCTTGATTAAAGGTTCTGCCTACATAAAGATATTTTGTTCCTTAACTGTGCATTATCTTTCGTGAACTTCAGTTTCATTTAAAGATGGCAGAGCCACCTAGCGGCTCTTTGCCTCTGTTCCAGCATACATCGGGTAGGACATCTGTGAGGTGGACACCCCCTCTAGGGGTTTGGAAGTTACTACTTTCTATTTTCAAAAACATCTTAATTAGATGAGCTTAAAACTATTATTGGACATGGGCTGGGCTTGACGTTAAGAAATGTCAAAATTAAAATGTTTTTAATTCCTATTTTTAAAATATTTTTTTAAAAGTTTTAAAAGCACTTGGTGCTCTTAAAAAAAATAAACAGGTTAAAAACTGTTGTTTCTTTAAACACAAGTTCCCTGTAATAATGTCTGTCAAATTGCCTTTTCACAAAAAGATATAATCAAAGCAATTGGTTAAAGTATCTATGCCAGTGTAAAAAAAAAATAAAGATGGGCTACTACATGCTGCTTTCATCACTGAAAACTAAAACGTTTTGGGAAATTATTCAACCCAAAGAAAGTATCTTTTTTATTTTCCAGGGACATGTGGTTAACATTCTTGTTGCTTCTTTGAGATGGTTGAGCTACAATAGTAATTTATAATGGAATGCAGTCATTTTGAACAAATACTGCAACCAAATGTAAAATTTATCACTCATTAATTTATAGAGACCTTGAAATATTGGCACATTAGTGTTTGCTAGTTTTTTTACATATTTACAGAGGAAGGAGAAGGCAATATAAATTGGAAATAGCCTCAGTGTTCCTAACTTCTAATGGCTGCCAACCTAAAAAAACATGGAGCTCTGGGCCGAGCGTGGCCTTCCTAGCTCAGTGCCGTTTACCTTGTATCATCTATGAAAAAAAAAGTCACAGGTGGGAATCATGAAATCTACCCTTGTCTCCTACCTCACTGTCTACCTTGCACTATAGTTATTATACTATCTTACCTCTTATGAATCAGAGGCTCTTTAAAGAAGAAACCATCTGTGTAATTTAGTTTTTTAAACACTTCGCTAGGATAGGATAAGCAAATACCAGTTTTTGAAAATTACTGTCTTTTGAATTAATGACTTTTTTCATATGCCATGTTGGGATACAAATAAGCCCATTCAAGGGTGTATAAACACACACACACACACACACACAAACGCCCAAAATGGGACCTGGGAAAAATTTCCATAGCAGAAAAGAATAGAAGCCTTACTCAGATGGAGAAAAAGCCCAACTCTGGAAATAATTTATTAGAGTAATGGGAGGAATATTTTAGAAAATATCTGCTTGTTTTGAGTAAGATATAAGAAAGTTTGGAAAGTTTGGCCTTTATAAAACAATATGTTACAGTAAGATTAAAAGTAAACTGACTCTGGTGCAAGTGGAGATTAAAAAGGATGAGAGGAGGTGTGAAAAGAAAGCAGAAAACAGGAGTTGTCATCTGAGAATACAGTTTTTTGAATAATGAGGTTAGAATGGCTCTACCACATAGGCCAAAATGTGGAAGATTAATTCGTGCATTTATCGTTTCAGTGAAAAATGGCTGGATTATTTAGAAAATGTGTTGAGACAACAGAGCTGGACCACTACCTCATTCCTTACCTGCAGTCTTTTCTTTCTAGCTTCCAAATACTTAATTCGTCCTCATTTTAGAGGTGGTGGTGTCATTAGGGAGGGGGCAAACTGAAGAACCTCTGTGCCCTCCCAGTACATACCTCACAGACAGTGACCTGCAGATTGAAACAGAACTCAGAGGGCCATACCTATGCTCCTTGAACAAATATTTAGGACTCTACTTACTGAAAATCAGTGTTCGGGGGAAACTGAGGCAGCTCTTTCCCCTCCCCCAGAAAGCAAGCTTTCCACTAACTTGGGATTTGTCTTCAGTTCCAAGAATTCTTTTCCCCCATAGGCCCTTTATGCTAACATTGGCCATATTACCCCTGCCAGTCACCCCATTTAGCCACCTGGGAGTCAGGGAAGATGGGAATAAGCTACAATCACAGAGTGGGGCCAACTCAGTGGGGCCAAGGAGCAGAGACATGGCCCAGGGACCACCCATCCACATGCCAGCTGACTGCCAGAGCTCAGGCCCCTCCTCCCAAGCAGCCATTAGGCACAGGAAGTGTAGCAAAAAGGAGGAATCCCAAGATTCTAGAAGCCTAAGCATCTGAGGCTATCGCAGAAGTCCTATGTACTTAATCCAGAAGAATAAGAAAAAATGATCAGAACAGTGGTGCTCCAACAATTTCTGTGAGCAAAGTTACTGATACGCGACTCCCCTGCTTGAGCTTTCCCTTTCTCCTCTTCCCACCTCTTGGGGCTGGTGCACCCCCCCCACCCTCACCCCACCCCCCATTCTCTGGAATGCTTCCTAGCCTCTGGCTCCAGCTGATGAGCTCCATTCTTGAGCTTCCATAGTTAACTTCTCAGATTTTCCTTCTGCTACAGACTTGGTTCCTGGAGTGTCACGTCTTAGCTCTCCGGGGCCTTCTTGCCTTACAGAGTCTCCCCGTACTGAATGTGCCCCGGATCCCCCAGGATCCTCCTGTGGTGCCCTGAGGCCATCTCAGCTGAAGGCTGCATTCCCTTTGTGTCAAGAAGGCCCTCAAGCCCTGCTCTCAGGCTGGGTGGTGCCAGCGTCTGCCTACCCAGGTGGCTGGCTCATTCAACTCCCTGGCCCCTCGTTTCCCATAACCAGCCCTTCCCCTCCAGTTCAGCCACCCTGCTCACTACACTGGGTGTTTTGCAGGGTGGGGACCTGTTGCTCACTGTTTTGTTTTGTTTTTTCAGTGCTAACAATTAAGAAATATGTACTCAATATCTGGCACTGTGC